TCTGGAACAGTGTTGTAAATACAACTTAACCACTGATTTCTAGTCGTGTCCATTTTTGGAAGACCAAACAAAGTAGTTTCGCTTTCACAACGAACCAGCGTCACACACCGCGGCCTTGAGTGAGCGGAGGCCATCTTGAGAACGGCGCGGATTCACGAAGGAGCGTCCGGCCAGCTTGCGGCAACCACATGTGACGACCCCGGGCTGGACTCCGCTTCGTCCACGGTGAAAGCCGATCCGGCGATCCACAGCGCGAAGTTGATGTATTTCCCCAGCGACCAGCACGGATCAGCTCTAGGCATGACGAAGCGGATATCGTCCTCTTTTGGAAGGCCAAACAAAGTAGTTTCGCTTTCACAACGAAACACACAGCGCCTTCACGACATGGCAGCGGCGGCAACAACAATACTACAGCGAGAATAAAAGTTACGCCTTCTTTCTTTGCGTGAAGATTTGGGTGGCGTTATGCATATCTTCCCACATCATGACGTAGATATGTGGGGGCGTGTTAGGATGAGCTGTTTTAGGTAGGCGTGGCTGACTTAACTTTTATAAAGAATATCTCTTTGGATTTGAGACTTTAGTCTTTGCAACTTTACAGATCTTCTTTATGCACCAAGAGCTTGTAACACTCCAAAGAGAAAGGAAAAATTTAAATCGCATCATATGACCCCTTTAAATTTCAGTACCATGGTATATTTCAAAATGTTGTACCATTACCATCACTGTACCATGATACTGACACAATATTTTTTGTAAGGGTGTTGCCATTCTGGTAAATACATGTAGGAACTCCCAATTTATTATTTATTTATTTAATTTTATTGTCAGCTGAAGCCCCTTTACCTAAAATATTTACTTGAAGTACCCCAAGATTTTAAATTAATATTTTAATAACACATTTGCATGTTTACTGTCCTGTGGTGTTAGTTCATTGTAACATGACATGCTGGAACACAAGTAAAATATTTTTGATCCTTTTTAATAAGTATATATTTTTTTTTTATTAATTATTAGCTTTTCATTATGTACTATGTCCTAAAAACATATTATTTTGTACTTTTGTAATTGTGCTAAAATGTAGTAAAATACTGAGCTCATGCTTATTGTGTTGATTGGTTTTAGTGGCTATGCAGCCGATGACATCACACACTGCATCCGCCCACAGGACATCAAGGAGAGGAGAGCTGTCATCATTCTGAGAAAGTGAGTTGCTCCGGTTTTGAGCTAAGATCTGGAAGCATGTGTGGGGGTGGACACTGCTCTGATATCTGCTCGTGTTTTGCTGTAGAACAAGGCTGGATGCCCCTCGCTTGAGCTCCAGCTCACTGTGCCCTTCCATCCACTCTTCTGAGAGACGACACATACTCAAAGCCAAACGCTCACACCGCAAGGCTGACCCAGATGCTGCACACAGGTACTTGCCAAGTCTTTCATACCACATTCAGATCTGTCTCCATCATATCAACAACTAATAGTTCACATAGTCCACCTACATTTTAGTTTTCTTTTTTGATAATCCGTTTCACTCGGATAGACATGAAAGCTACCAAAAACAGTGTGGCTTGTTTTCCATTCCTAAAATAGAAAAACCTACTTTATATTAAAGGTAGGGCTGCACGATAAATCGCATGCGATATTTAACGCGCATCTTGTCAGAAAGCCGGTTCTGTAATCAGCGGTAAATCTCCATCACCTGCGGGCTTTCACATTGAGCAGCATTAACTACACAGAGCCGTTGTTCACTGACGAGCAGCGCAAAAAATCGTGCGAATATGGACGTGGTTTTGCGCAGCTCGTCAGTGAACAACGGCTCTGTGTAACAAAAAACAAAAGCGGTTTTGTTCTGCTTAAGAGTGGACCCTAATTGTGGCTGCCGTCTTGAGATCACATGACCGGCTGAATTCTACTCAGTCATTGTACTATTTTATTAACCCTATTATCTGACACCTTTCGCTGCAAAGTAATTGAATCATACACTTCTGTTCAAAAGTTTAAGGTCAGTAAGAGTTAGTATTTATTTATTTACTTATTTGTTTTTTTGTTGTTGTTGTTTTTCAAATTAATACTTTAATCCAGCAAGAATGCATTAAATTGATCAACAGTTACAGTAAATATTTTCAAATAAATACTGTTCTTTTTAACTTTCTATTTATCAAAGAATTTTGGGGGGAAATCAACCACAGTTTACATAAAAATATTAAGCAGCACAACAGTTTTTTCATCATGCGACACTGAAGATTGGAGTAATGGCTGCATTTTAAAATGTTTAAATAGAACAGTTATTTTAAATTGTAATAATATTATGTTTTTTTTTGTATTTTTGATTAAATGAATGCAGACTTGGCAAGCACAACGAGACTTTTTTTAAGAAACATTAAAACATCTTCCGCCACCCATATTTTTGGATTGGTAGTGTAGGGTATTTCTGCAACAAGAGTGCTGTCATATCAGTCAGCAGAACATAAAAGTACACTTTAAAGGAATAGTTTAGCCAAAAATGCTGTCATTATTTATTCATCCTCATGTTGTTCCAAACCTTTATGCTGGGGTCACTATGAACTGTCATTGAAAATAGAGCTGCATTAAAGATTCCTTTAGTATTCCATGGAAAAAAAGTAACCTCATACATGTTTGGAATGACACGAGGGTGAGCAAATGATGACAGAATTTCCATTTCTGCATGAACTGATCCTTTAAGACTCACAAAGTGGTTGCAGTCCACACATACAATTTGCTAAAAGCATTTTGCTCTTTTCCCTTACACAGGCCTCGTATTTTAGAGATGGACAAAGAGCTGCAGAGGCGTTCCCTCTCCTCCCGACAGAGACGTCACGGCGACGGCAGTTCAGAGAACTCGTGGAGGAGAGCTGACGAGAGAGAGCTGGGCTCACGCTACACACATGATCATGCACCCACACGACGAGTCAAAATGAGACGTCACTGAGACGCAGACGCCTTTACATTTGCTCGAGGGGATGGGAAGCCAACAGAGTGACTCAGTAAAAGAGAAGCTTCCGGAGTGGATGGATTCAAGGACATTAGACAGTGGCTGCTTTACTTATTAAGAGGCTTTATCTATCTATTCAGACATATCAAAAATTATACTTTAAGATCCACTATATTTTGTTCTGTGTGTTTAAAGGAAATGTATGGAATAAAAAACGACATCTATGCTGACTAGTGGAATTCAATCATAATTCATCCGTTCGCAGCCCAGTTAACTTCATGTGCCAGTGTCATGCATACAGCTCATGCACATAACAATATCAAATAAAAATGTGTACTGGTCAATTTTTTCGAAGATAGGTTTTTGAGAACTGCTCCTTTGAACATGTAAACAGATTTGCTGGATACATTTTGAAACGGTAGCTTAGAACAGGCAATCAAGCTACTTTTAATTTTTGCAAAATCTTAAAAGTCACAAAAAGTGAGAAGGAAAAAATGTATCAAATTAATTTTTTCATGCAGATAGACTGACTTTAATGGTATGATGATAAAATGTCTTTTATTTGCATGCAGTGGCTTGTCGGTTGATTTGCCTATGCACAGTGACTTTACTAACAAAGACAAGATCAAATCTAAGGCCTAGAATCATCTTTGATATGCTTGACATGCACAATATTAGTTTCCCATGTTTCTAAAAACGGGATGAAAAAGTTAAATAGTCTTCATTTGAATGCTGTTCTTTCTGTTCTCAATGCTTTTTTTTCTTTTCTCTTTTGTCCCCGTTTAAGAGTGGTATTGCCATTATAACAAGTTCTGATTGACAAGCATGGTTATTTGTTTGATCTCTTAATTTCTGAAGGAAAGAATTCATTAATGTCAACATTACAGCTGTCATTCGAGACCTGTATAAGATTGTCATAATGGCAACAGTTTTATTTATTATATTCATACTGTTTGTTTCTGAGAATGAATGGGAGATAAAAATGTAGAAGAAAGATGATAAAGTGTCTGTCCCATTGCAGGTGTTCAATAGAAAAGTGCATTTGACTTCATGAGACTCTATATATACTTTGTATTTAAGAGGCTGACAGATGAGACTATTTCTGTTTAAAGGTTGAAAACAAATGGAGCAGATAAGACTGCATAAAAGATTAAAGGGAGATGTTCAGTGTGTTCTTGAAAGATTCTCTGTTCATTCTCCATTCATGTCTGTTGTATTTTGTAGCTAACTTTTAAATACCAAAAACAATCTCACCCAATATTCCCTAAAACTTCTTTAGTTTTGTATTTGTAAGAAAGGTTTTTTTTTGTTCAATTTGCAGTGTCCATCTATATGGAATAGGTAAATCATTTTCTGTCCAGTTAGTTTAACATAAAGTTTAAATTTTTGCTCCAAGTCTTGATATTTATAATTTAAACTATGCACTGTTTTATTCCTAAATAAAAATGTAAATATTTAGTGTGGCTGGATCTCTGTGCCACTATGTCATCTTGAATTGTTGGATAAACTATTTACTTCAGTGTACTCACTGTTTACCCAATAAATGTCCCACAGGATACTTTCAAGTGCTGTTTGTAAGTGGAAAGAGTGCGTGACCGTCCACTGGTATGAGAGAACTTTCCAATTTTTCATAGAAAAACATATTGGGTTGATTACTATGTTGCTTGTGGCTAGTGTTAATGTAATTGTTTTACATATGGTTCTTGGGGAAGACATATTACTGTTTTCAGTTTATAGAGGGGTGATAAAACCGCACCAAATGTATAGCCAAAGAAATCGAAATTAAATTATAATTTTAATAAATTATATATAATCTAGGTTATAAATGAATAAATTGAATCAGTAATAAAAATATAAAAAATATAACATTAAATAAACTGGATAATATGGAGTATGTTTTAAATTAATTTAACAGCACAAAGTACAACTAAATACTAATGTACAAAGTAATTATTTAATCTGGAGTTCTTCGATTCGCCATACAAATGTAAAGGCAACTTCATTATAATATTTTCAAGAAAAATTTGCCATAAATTACACAAGCAATGAATAAAAAAAAAAATGTCACAATAAGAAAATTAAAATAATACGAAACGATACCATTGATGTCAAAATAAAAAATGTTTGAATTGACATAAAAAGCATTTAAAATAATTTATGAAATAAAAAAAAAATATATATATAATGTGGAGCCGCCCTGTTAACATGAATAACTGTATTTTTTTCCTTTTTGTCCGTGTATAGAAATTCCATAGAAATAAAGCAACGCTTCTTCACTGTGAAGCTCTGACGTCTATTGATGCTGTCATCTCATTGGTCCATATGCACGTCAATCCGCTGGATAGTGACGTATGAGGTGTTTGTTTAGTGAGAGGGCAAGTACGTGCTAGACAAAACTACTGAATTTGATACTCTAATGGCTCTGAATTGACACTCCCATATAAAGGTAAGTTAGCGGTTTAACGGTGCTTAAAAGCGGTGCTTATAAACTGTTGATTGTTTAATATCACCAAGCGTGTTAGTTTTCTGCATTCGGCAGCTGGTGATGTTAGCAAACGCGAATAACACAGCGAAACACTATTGTTTGATTCAGTGTAGTTTGATTCTCAACCATTTTGAACAACTGAAAACAAGTATTCGAGTATAGTTATGCGTGATTTAATATAGTATTTAGCAAGGAAAACAGCAAGTCTGTAAACGTGAAAGATTTAAACCACTGGTAGTGTCAAGTTGTTTTGCACACTGTCTTATCTGAAAACACAATTAATGTTATCTGGATTTTAAAGTCCGTCTATATGCAGGCCTCGTGTCATTTAATGTGTACTAACTCAGTTGGTTTTACCCAATAACCATAATGAAAGAATGTAGAATTTGTTTTGTTTTCATTTGTCTGCGATCTGGCCAAGAACATTCTGTTACTTTTTGGAAAATACCTTTGGAATGTAGTTCTTGGCAAGCATGTAAATCTGTAAATCCATTTGGAATAAAAATATTAAGGCTAAAAGGTATCCATGAGATATTCACCCATGTCTTACTAGTGTGATCTGTAGATCACAGATGGAGACTGAACTCTTAAGTCAGGATCACAAAATTATCATATGAATAAGTGGAGAGTTACTGTACCACATGGGTCTAAATGTAGACCTGGTAAAACCCCCCTTCCCAGTCTGAGTTCATGAAGATCCAAGGCTATTTCTGATCCACAGAGAGAAAGAGAGAGTGGCAGGTGAGGCTTCTGTCGCCTGGTCTGTCATGTATCACACATGACCACTGTGTGTCTTAACCTTTATAGTACTGAGTACTGTGATGGTACTTTGGTACGTAATGGTATCGGATGGTTAAATCAATAATAACACTTTAATGTATAGTACTGTGATACTGAATGATTACTATTTATGGTACACAAAAGGTCAGTGGTATTCTTAGTACCATGAATATATCCAGGCCCGGATTAAGAATTCAGACGCCCCTGGGCACAATGTCTTGTAAAGCCCCCCACACCACACACACACATTTAGTCATTTATCGAAAAATATAAATAATTAAAAAAAAAAAGTCTAAAAAAAAAGCTTCTAGACACACACACAATCAAGGTCTTGAATTATATGGTACTATTTGTTGGAAACACCTCTGTTGTTTATATCAACCAGACATTGGTGGGCGGAACTGGTGTAAATAGCCTCTGCCAATAAGGTAGACGCTTCGTGTAAATAGACACTTTGAAATTGTTTTCTTCCCCTTGCTTGGGCCCCAAGTACGCATGGGCCCCTGGGCCTATGCCCATAATGCCCATTGGATAATCCAGCCCAGAATATATCATGATAGATGTCTAAAAACCATTGAGGTACCCTGATATGTGAGGAAGTGCATGTGACATCAAATGGTCATGTAAGTCTCTACTGACATTTTCAAACAGTCTCACAGAGGACGTGATGTATTATTATGGTAAAAGGCGAGGAGAAGATGGGATTGCTGTTGTCATTGACTTCCTGTTGTCCAATGCCCGGCTGGTGCTGGGGGTCGGCGGAGCTGCGGTGCTGGGCATTGCCACATTAGCTGTGAAACGGGTGATTATTCATTATTTTTGCTTACTACATAGTCCTGATTGGTCAAATACTATATTGTTTATAGAGTGCATATACCATTAATTTAAAAAGCTTGTAGCTCACAGTAGGTCTTTTTTTTACTTCTAGAACCTGACTGTTGCACTATTTATTAATTTTTTGTCTCCTCCTCCTCTTCCTGTGATGTCATAGCTGATAGAACGTGCTGGTAGGCCTCCTGATGAGAAGCCTGAAAAGAAGATGACGGACAGCTGGGAGGAGTTAAGCTTGGTTAGTGCCTCCCCCAAATTGCTGCACAAGGGTATAGAAGGAGTGGTCATAAAACAGATTGCTGCCGCAACCAAGAAAGGTAAATACTTGGGAACATACTTACCTTTATTTAGAAGACTTGTTGCTAAAAGACAACAAGAAATCAAAACTAACCATATTTAGGGTCTTATTCTGCACAATTCATCTATGCATGCTAGTGCAAAAAAACAACAACTTTGTAATCTTTCATCTAAATGTATTAATTCCACTTTTCAAACTGGTTAATGTCTTTATTAAGACTTTGTTAATGTCTTAATGGTCTTTATTTACGCATTAATGTTACTGAACATCTGCGTCACTAAAAAATATATCATGTTATGGAACTAAAATGGGTTGTGAATGCTGTTTTTAAGTAGAATCCCTTTTTTCTGTGTTTAGCGGAGCTGTCCCAACCCATTCCCCTGCCCTCACCTGAGCCCCAGCGCTGTGACGCTGACCCACCTCAGCGACGGAAACGCATGGATCTGTGTGTGATGACGTTTGTGGACCGTCTGCAGCAGTACTACAGAACACGCGTGTGTCTGTCAGCAGAGGAGGTGTCTGTCGCACAGCAGAGAGCGTTAGATATAGCCACAGAGATCCAGGCCTTCCTGCACTCCAAACACCCAAGCATGCCACTGGGAGACATGATGCTGGCGGGGTCATTGCTTGACAACCTGCAAGTGGTTAAAGCCGACCATGCTTGCTTGATCGTGCCCCTACAGGTATCAAGATTCTATGTGGACCACTTGTTTACTTGCAGGTGTAAAAAAAAAAGTTGCCATCTCATATATCTCAAAGATACTTTTACTCTTTGCACAACTCTGTGTACATTGGATTGAAATTTTAATAACTTTAATGTACTTGATTTGTACACCAAACACTAGGAATATACAATATACAAGTATCGGATTGGGACTCAGTATCTGCCGATACTCAATATTCAATGACTTGGATCAGATCGGAGGCACAAAAAAACTGATTGGGACATCCCTTTATAATATAATATAATATAATATAATATAATCAACAATATATAAAAAAAAACTATTTTCTTTTTAAAATATTTAGTTAAGATGACATTAAGAAAAGCCTTCCAATCTTAGCAGTTGGATCTTTGATCTTAGGTATTGACCTGACAATGGCCATGTGCTTGGCCCTGAAATTGTATTTAAATTTGTTCCAAATGTGTTTCATACAGTTGGAGTCCAGTCTGTGGATGCCTATTGCTGGAGAGGACACATTTTTGGGTCACCCTCAGTACTGCATGGTGCGCCGTGAAAACCTTGAGTACTTCCCGAGGGGGCGGAGCTACTGGGATCGACATTTGCTGGGTGGATACTTGTCGTCGCGGCTTGTTTCCGAGCAACTAGGCAAGACAGTGATGGAATCAATTAACTGGCCATCGCTGACCGGAACCCTGGAGTGTGAGGTGCGACCGGTGCTTGGGTCTCCTGAGCTCAAACTGGAAATTCGAGGGTTAACGCAAAGCAGTTATGACAGTGGAGAACGCTTCTATATAACAGTGTTGCCAACAGTGCGCCTTGGTGAGATGACGCTTACGGCGCAACGAGAGATCACTGGGTCATTCGACTACGTCTGGTACCAGAGCCTATACACTAGCGAAACAGCTAGACTAGCAGAGCTTGACAAAGCAGACTCGGGGGTCAGAAGAAAGTGCCTGAAAACACTAAAGGCGGTGTGCTGCAACTGCCCTTCACTACGCAAGCTCAACGGCAGCCATCTTAGCAACGTCATTCTACACATGAGTGAAAATGAAACAGATTGGACGGAATCAGCATTTGCTGATAGGTTCCAGCAGGCGATCACTGAGCTAATCGGATATTTGGAAACTGGAATCTTGCCTAGTTACTTCAAACCTAATGTGAATCTGTTTCAGGGTTTTACTGAGGACGACATTGATGAGATGGGCTTCATGCTGTACTGTGCTGTAACTGAACCTGAGATTCTACTGATCTGATTCACTCCCCCTCCTACTCCTTCTACGCACAGAATAGTACTTTTATCAAAACAACTCTCTATGGCAACTGGCATTAATGCACCTTTAAACAATGAATGTAAAATTACATATCATTTCTATAAGGTGTCTATTCATGGTCCCCTTATGTGTATTTCCACTTACCTACTCCTTGAAAGGGGATTTTGAAGTGACATTGGCTCCATTTAACTATGCATCACTTACCTAGACAGACACTCTGCTTGGATGTAGATTTTAAAGAAGTGAGAAAACGCTTTCATGGTTCAGACCATTTGTCTGTGACTTAAGATGGATTTTCTTTTGTTGATAACCTGTTCTGAGCTCTGCGTTGACCATGTTTTACTATTTTGCTTTTTGGAGCAATGGCAGTAATCACAGACAATGCGAAGCGGTGTTGACTTTGAAGAAGCAAATACTTAATATTAAGACAATAAAGCAGTAATGCAATGCCTTTGTTGAGAATATTTTTATATACTTTTTTTTTTTTTGGTCAGTTATTCTAGCTTACAATGTAGCAAAATTACTGAGTGTGTTTGGGGAAAAATGTGCGTTGAGGGTTGTCTAAACCTTTATAAGCGTTGTTTTCCTACTTACCCACATACTTTTGTCAGTACTAGCATAAATGGCTATGAAAAGACAGAAACAATTAAACTAAAAGTTAATATGTAAAAGCAGGTTTCCCTTTATACATCTTATTATAACTTGCAAACAAGTTTGGTTAAAAAATAAATAGCAGAAACAAAAATATTGGTAGGATCAAACTTCATGCCGATCCTACACTGCTGACAGGGTTACATCCTAGCAAACACAGAACGTTATGTTAGTTTTTGGTTCCCGTTTGGATATTTATTTATTTTTTATTTTTTTGAGAACCAAGAAAGGAACGTTCTTTTTAGGTTTTAATTTTTGCAACCATAAAATAATGTTCCCAGAATGTTGCAGGGTGGTTATTATTTAATAACCTAAAAATAACTTATACAGAACGTTCTCTCTAATGGTTATTTTTAGGTTATTATTTTGCAATCATATAACGTTCCCTGAACATTGCAGGATGGGTATTTTTTATGACCTAAAAATAACTTATACAGAACATTCCCTAATGGTTATTTTTAGGTTATTTTAAATCCCTGTAAACTATCTTTCCAATGAAAACATTGCAGTTGTGTAATGACCTATGCAGAGCCCTGAAATTAGTTTAATACAGCATTTACTACAGAAATTAGATGAATCAAATGTGTTTTAAATTATAATATTAAGCCAGTGTTAAGTATAGAGTGATAACAGAAATCATTAATTTGTGGGTTTGTTTCATCTTTATTTACTGCGCCTAACTGAAGAGAACATGATTTTTTGTTTTTGTTTATGGATCAAAAGAAGAATGTCCCGCTGTACAAACTGTACACTTCATTGGTAAGAAATGAATGTACTGATATCCTTCTTTAAGTCAAGTAATTATCTTAAATGAATTATTGTTTGCTACTGGGATGCGTGTCTAAATAAAGAGATTGTTCACAATTTTCACAGTTGTTTGTGGTGTTAGGCCTACTTGTGCTTGTCATGTCAATTAGTATATGGATTACACGCCTATTTATCAGTGTTTTTGTAGGCTAGGATAGTTCCTCTTTCAGTTTTTATTTGGTTGCTATCATGTGAAAATACAATAAACACAAGTCATGGTTTATGAGAGGTCAAATAAAAAAAAAGATAAGGCAGAACTGCTGGGTGTAAACCAGTAGTTAACATGTCACTTTATAGAAATGCAATTAGTCATGTAAAAATAATTTGGCAGAACTAAAAATGGGCATCTAATAATCCTTTGGGTCTTTTACATTTATGGAATGACCCAAAGAAAAGGGGATTTTTAATGTCAAAATAAAGTAAAAAAAAAAAAAAGCTTTACTTTATAGAGATCTTTATAGAGTTCCTGTTCTAAAAATATGTTACACTGTGACAGTGTTTTAGTTATAGAATTTTACTAAGTGTTTGTTAGTAAAAAGATTGGCTGGTTAAAATCAAGTTTGTTTATGTTACACTGTGACAGTGTTTTAGTTATAGAATTTTACTAAGTCTTTGTTAGTAAAAAGATTGGCTGGTTAAAATCAAGTTTGTTTACTAAAATAAATATAGCCTATTGAATTCTTATCGGTGTGTTAAGGAAAATGCCAATAATATTGGCATGACTGTTGACATTTATGAGAGATCAAATATGCAATAACGCTCGTGCGCATATCCCTTTTCCCACGCTTATTTTGAGGAATTGGTTTGAGGCGGAAACAAGTCGAAATTGAGCTGGTTATGATCACTCCCCCAACCAGAGGTGTCACATGGCTAGCTATGGCAAACGCTGTTTCTGTTACTGCTCTCCGGAAAGCGCTTTAATGTTTGTTTACGTCTAAACATCGAGTTCAGCTTACTTTTAGAAAAGAGAAAACGAGTATTGGTTTAAATTGCTGTACCAGCAAACACCGGCAAGTTCATTTATACGTATATTACTCTGAACTGACTAGTCAGTTTTCATGACATTGCGTTTATGTCATGGTCTGTATGGTGCGTCAGGCATATCATTTATAAATCGGTGTGAACTGGATCACTTCATGCTTGTTATGGTTTTTAAGTAGTTGTAATTCTCTTTTCATGCGTCGATTGATCACATTTTACTAGTCCTTGTAAATGCGTAGTAAAACTAGACCTCCTGCACTGGATTAAGTCAGCTATTTTGACAGCAATGTGAAGATGTGGCTTCAGGGGTGTAAAGTATGTGAGTCATAAGTTTCGTTATTTAAGTATTATTTTGTGGAATTAGTACTAATAAAGCTTAATTCTTGTACTCTTAATTACATTTTCACAAATAAAGAAATAAGCCTTTTTACAAGTGTACAAAGTACATAAGTAAAAGAAGAAAAAAAAAACTTGTTTTATTGTTTGTATAGTAGAGTAACAAACCAGTCAAATGGGTGTCCTGCAGTTTTTATTTACATTTTATTTGAAACAGCCAGTGAAATCCATTTAGCTGGCCACATTGGTCCATCTGTCCTTGTGAAGAGATTTCAGCAGATCTTTTTTTTATGTGAAAAATTGACAAATGTATCTTGAACGTAAATAGGGTAGATTACCAAATCTATAACTATAAACAATAAAATCAGATGTTGCTGAATGAATGAAGTTGAACAATTTAAGGTAATAGGATATAGGTTTCATTTGTGGCATCAACAGACTTACTGAAGACATTGTGGAACTCATAATGTGGAAACATTTTGACACAGTCCTTTAACTAGTATAATTTCACAATACTTCTTACACCCCTGTTCGGTTTGTTTGTTGGTTTGTTTAATACTTTTTACCACCATGATTAGCTCTCCAGACTTGGTGGCTTTCACTAAAGAAACATATTTCAGTGAAATAGCCAAAGACCCCTCAGCACTTCCTGAGGAACTGTCTGTTCCCATATATCCCTACACTGGGAACACCACCCCATGGTCCACAATGTCTGGTGCTAATTTTAAGAAGGACTTTATCCTTTTATCAGAGTTTTCAGAGCAAGTTGGGCCGCAGCCTTTGCTTACAGTTCCTCCTGAAACCAAGGCTTGTGGAACGTTTGATTTGAACCACTTCTCCCTTCGGATCATGTCAGTGGACTATCAGACCTCGCTCACCAGCCTGGCAGTTTGCGGCTCTTTGAAACTGAACTTTGTAGAAGACTCAAAAGTAGTTTTAGGGGATTCTGGAGAAGGAGTATTTGCATATGTGCACCACCTTACGCTCTATGACTTGGAGGCTCAAGGGTTTGTGCGACCTCTCTGCCTTGCCTATGTGTCGTCTGATGAGAATAAAATTATACAGCAATTTCAGCAGCTTTCCGCAGAGTTCTCCAAAGTCTCTGAATGTCTAAAAACAGGGAACAGGAAGAACTTTGCAAATGAACTGGAGATAAAACTGAGAGATTTGGAGTATACCAGAGTCATGTTATTCAGAGAAATAGAAAGAGAGTTAAATAATGTATCTTTTTCAAGAAAGGCAGAAGTAGAGTGTGAAAAACGGAATAGGTCATGTATTACACATGATAGAGATGAACGATTTGGAGAGCGAAGGAAGGGCAAGCAGGATAAAGGATCTTGCCCAATGCCATTGGCTAATAAAGGTGAGGAACTGGCCTTTGTAGAAAAATCCATTCAGGAATACAAAAGCCTTCTAAAACAGGTCTCCTACTACCCAACCAGGAAGCTTAGAGACTCTGAATACTCTCCTTATGAACCAGATGACCTCCCTCATTCTTTCGAGTTCGACCTGGATGATTTAAGGCATGGTCAGCTTGCTGGGCCAATGCTAGAATATAATGTTTTTTCTTGCACAAACACACCCTCACATTCTCTGCAGCTGATTAACTCTACTTCATCTTGCCGATTTGACAAGCGTCTTAAAACTCTCGAGGAGTTGTGTGATGACTACTTCCACCATCAGGCGCTACAGCAACTGTACTCCATTGAGAGGACATTCAGAGGAGATGCCTGCCATCTCTACTCACAACAACTCTGCCGTAATCATCTTCGCAACCTCAAATCTACCAATTTCTTATTTGAGGATCCATGTGACTTGGAAGAGGAAGCAGGATTACAGATTGGAATAGCCAGTCAACATTCAGTCCGACAACCCTCATTTCTTCCTGCACCTTCAATTCTAAGTGAAACTGCCAGTCTCGAGTCATATGTCTCCTGTGTTGAAATGGTGCCAATCAAACTAGAGTTGGGTGGACCTAGTCAATTTCCAGTTGTACCCAGCTCTTTAAATACCCCTTCCGAGGATAACCTACGCCTTACATCCGACACCTCCTTAGTAGAGACTGAAATGGAAAATGGGGGGGGTTGTTTCAACTTCGGATTGCCTAGAAAATGTGGACTGTGTTTCAACTTTGATGAAGACCAGTATTAGTAGTGGAGATAGTATTGAGGTCTTAGGGACAGAGAAGTCCTTCAGATCCCAGGGTTCAAATATCCCATTGGATACAGCACTGCAAAGACCTCCACCTTTGTCCACTACAGCTGCACTGGAGGGTCTAAGGCAAGGAAGGGTACCTACCAGACGGACTTGCAGTGAAGACAGCATTGAGGTGCTTAGCACAACAGAATCCATCCTACCTGAAGAACTGCGTGCTTCATACCCTTGTGCAATTGATGAGGAAAGCCCAGATCAAGAGACTGCTGAGAAAGACATGTCTCAAAACCAAGAGGACAAACAAGTTGAGTGTGTTTACGGTGTGGGAAACAAAGTCCCTAAAGATCATGGAGGGGCCTGTATGGAGGAGCCACAAGATTTTTATCCTGCTGTCACCTTAACCCCACCTGATTGTCCTATGACTTTGACCTTGGGTGGGTCAAGCTCTCAAGATACTTGTCATGCATCAGAATTAATTCCTCTCTCATTGTTAGATGAGCCCTGCCGGATAGTATCTGATGATTTCTCAGACTGCTTCAGCTATCGGAGCACCACTGCTTCTACAACCTCCGAATGCACTTTCTCTGCTTGTCTTCCCAGGAATAAAAGACAAGGTGGGACCAGACGGAGACGGGGCAGAGTAGGACGAGCAGCGTTGCAATTCTTGCGACAGTTTCCCTTTGCAGTCCATGCAGTGTTCAGCCTTCTGAGTGGCCAAACATTGGTAGTACTAGGCAGCGAGGGACAAGGTGGGACCAGACGGAGACGGGGCAGAGTAGGACGAGCAGCGTTGCAATTCTTGCGAGTTTCCCTTTGCAGTCCATGCAGTGTTCAGCCTTCTGAGTGGCCAAACATTGGTAGTACTAGGCAGCGAGGAGGCTGCAGTGAGGCGACTGGTTACAGCACTGTCTGTGTACATGCCACATCTGAGTGGATACAGAGACAGCATTCAACCTTGGACGTCAACGCCACTGCAGCTTACTGACCTGCTGAACTGTAAACTTATCGGCTTTAACAGGTAACATTTACTATGCATCTTAATCTTGTTTGACTGCCTGTTTTTAAAGGGAACCAAAATATCTTGATTAGCTCATACAAATTTATTGTGGGTAAGCTCTGCAGAAAGGTATCCGGTTAAGTCTGATGTTACATCACTGTTTCCGGTTCAAAACACTCCTTCAAATCACAAAAGCAAACAAACAGTCCCCATTATTGGCTGTAATACTAATAAATCATGATCTTAACCTTTACTGCCATACCTGAAATCTTAGTCAGCCAGATAGTGATTTATCTTTTCTGAATCATTAAAATATTGGTGTCTGGAGACTGTAGTAAACCATGAGTTTTAGAAAACTTAAAGGGATAGTTCACCCAAAAATTTAAATTTAAGTTTTTTTTTTTATATATTTACTCAGGATGTGCTGTTTGACTCGCACAAATTTGCATCACTGCCTGGGCCATTATTGCCGATACCTCAGCATCCTAGATGTGGATCAAAAGACACTGCACTGCCCTGCCTACAGCGGTACTCTTATCAACCTGCTGGTGGAACCAAGGAGCCACTTTAAACGTGGAAACACCTACTTCATGTTTGCTCAAAGTGTGCAAAGCAAGCTCGTCACCAGATCATTCCTTTTAACATTTTCACATGGTTGCCATACACCTAGAAGGCCTCGGGAAAGTACATGGACACAGTGTTTTCATTCTGAATTTCACAGAGATGATAAGAAAATCCTCAACTATTTATCTGAACTCATCAAAATGCACTTCATGGAGGTTCCACCCAATCTCCTCAGATTCAGCTACACCACAAACTCTGTTTTCAAACTCTGAAAGTGTCATTTACAAATGTACATTTGCCAACAATTTGTGTACTGTACCGTAGTTATGCATAGATTTTATTGCCTTCAAATGAAAATTTGCTTTTGCCCAGCAATAACCGTATATTTACACTTTCTGCATGCTTTGATATTTTGTTGACAAAGGAAGTTGAAGTGAATAATTACAGTAATACTGTGGTCTAATCTCGTGCAAAGATTCCAGAGAAATATCAGTTTACAATCTTAAATGATCTACAACAAAGCAAAATTGAACCGCTTCATATCAGTGTTGCATTTGAAACTTTGTCATTTACATTACGGCTGATGTTCAAAGAATTGTATATTGTTCTGTTGCTGAATATAACTGTATTTAACATCCTCCAGATATTGATCATAGTCCTGTAACTGCGCATAATGTTGCAAAATGCTGGTAAATTCCCAGACGAGGAAAACAAACGTCTGGACAATAGGGGGGGAAAAAATCTGATCTGACACTTATAATCTTTGAAAACATTAAATCCACTCTGTATGTACATTAAAACAATTTGTTTTTAAAACAGGATGCTGGTCAGACTTATTTTCCTTGCTGCTGGATTAGATGCAGGATTTTACGTTTTTCTGGAGTAAGTTTGGCCACCTGCAAGTTAGAGAAAGGTAGCTCACATTAAAAACAAGATATATTGAGATTTAACCAAATATATCTTTGTAAGTTTACATTAAACCAAGACATGAATTAATGGGAAAAGATTCTTACATTGCATTCAAGATACAGTTTCAAGCTTAGTTGCCAAGGGTTGTGTGATCTGAAATCAAAGAGTGCATTTGGAAATTGTTGACATTCATTTTCATATAATATGTACTTCATTTTAACAAATGATCCAATTGCTAAATTGTTTTATAGTGGCATTCCTGTTTTATCCCCAATCTTCCTTTTTATTTCCCTCTGGACAAAGTAAATCAGGAATATTCAAAACATCCAGCGCAATCTAACATTACATTAGAAATCGCCTCTTAATATTCATGCATCTATAACACTCTGTGCTGAAATATGTCATGGATATCTAGATGATTATGTAATAAAAAGCATGAATGACATATGACTAGTGATGTACTGCTGTTTCTTACTCATTCCAAGTGGCAAGCAGGCTATTGGTAGGATAGGTGTTCAGGTCCAGGACAACGCTGTTTTCCCAGAAGTACATGCAGAGAAAGTACGCAACTAGGGAATGTTCGGTTTCAGTCCATTTTCTGAAGTGGATATAAAGCACGTACATGCTTAACATGAAGGTTTTCGTTTTGGTGAATGTGTGCGAGCACACACCCTTACCTCTGTAGGAGTTGGTATCGCTCATCAGACAGTTCCTCCAGAAGACAGCAAAGGAGGTAGTGCAGCACTTCTGGCCTCACCAGCAGACTGTAGAAGAACCAACGGAGCGCCCAGCGGTTGAACTAAAAGCAAATGTACACACAATTACACAAAAGAGCCTGCACAAAATCAGGACTACTGAATTTAACATGGGATGATACAATACTAACACTTCAGCATTTCTTATTTTTAGCTGTACATGGAAGGTCTGAACTTGCCTGTGTTTAGGGATGTGCAACAGTGATTGAGTACTCAGCTGTGACAGCGACGACCGATCATGAAAACGATGATCGTGGAAAAATTGGTTTGGTTATAGCAACCCTTTGGCGGCACCCTGAGCTCTGATTGTTTAGCTGGCCACAGCATGCGGTCCAAAATATAGACGTGGGAAGAGAGAGAAGCATGGCTTCGAAGTCCCGTAGTGATGTCTGGGTTAGCTACATAAATATCTGATGAATCTAATGGATGCATTGGGATATTAACATGCTGAATGCGCTGCATATTACCAGTGTTTAGTTTCATGCTTAAATGCAATGCCCGATATTTGAGATGGTCATATTCCTTTTAGATGTTTCTTTTTTTTTTTTAAATACTGATGTTATAATAATGCAGCAGTGCTTATTTTGTCATTTGTTCAACAGTAGGCATACTTCAATTAAAATTGTTTTTGTACTTCGTATATAGCTTTGAAAACACGCAGGCGATTTCAGGAATCACTTGATAATGTAGATGAAAATGTAGCACAAATCTGCCATAAACATTAATGCCATAAGCATTATAATGAGAACTTTATAGGATGTGAAATCTATAGTAAATTCTGTCTCCTTTCCTTGTCTCTTTTCTCTCTCACTATAAATGCATAACTTATATTTCACTGGCATTTGCATCCTTTTGTGCAGATACAAGTTGTAATGTTTCTTTTCTCTCTCACTATAAATGCATAACTTATATTTCACTGGCATTTGCATCCTTTTGTGCAGATACAAGTTGTAATGTTACGTCTATGTTACGTATCCAAGTTATCTGATTAATATCATAGGATGTGTCATAGAACGGGCTTCAGTTTATTGGCATAAAGTCAATCAGCTTCACCTCAGGCAGCTATTCCTTTTTAGATGCTTATTTTTTTAATAACATTGCTGCATCAATCATAATCTAACAGTGTTCTAATCATGTGTTCATGTCTTCATAGACATGTTTTCATGTCATCATTTTATTTTTAACATTCATTTTCATAACGGTCTTCAGATATTTTCATTATCTCCATTACGGCCATGCCTCGCCCCCCCCGATTAATCATGTTTGAAACCTATTGATGATCGAAATAAGAAATTGCCAAAAATGCCCATCCCTACCAGTGTTGACTAAAAACTAGAGAAAATAAGCACCCTGAAAGATATGATGACGTTGAGGATGGGCCTGAGCTGTGAGTGGAAAATGCGCAGAACCAAAGCCTGAGTGGCCAACAGTAGTCTAGCCTGGTCAGGATAACCCTAATGGGAAGAAAGTAAAAGATCATTACATGCTGCACCAATAACCAAAAACTATGAATATTATCTAAAGTATTATTTAAACTATGTCAGGCATATAAAAAAAAATTGTGCATTTCATTTGCAATCATTATATACATGCACACATACACACATATGTGACCCTGGACCACAAAACCAGTCATAAGGGTCAATTATTCGAAATTGAGATTTAAACATCATCTGAAAGCTGAATAAATAAGCTTTCCATTGATAGGACAAAATTTGACCGAGATACAACTATTTGAAAATCTGGAATCTGAGGGTGCAAAAAAATCTAAATATTGAGAAAATCGCCTTTAAAGTTGTCCAAATAAAGTTCTTAGCAATGCATATTACTAATCATAAATTAAGTTCTAATATCTTTACAGTAGGAAATGTACAAAATATCTTCATGGAACATGATCTTTACTTAATATCCTAATGATTTTTGGCATAAAAGATCAATCAAAAATCAATACTTTTGACCCATACAATGTACTTTTGGCTATTGCTACAAAAACACCCCAGCGACTTAAGACTGGTTTTGTGGTCCAGGGTCACATATATGACATGCAATGATGTTCTGAAATGAGGTTGCGAAGTCTCTTTTTTACATTTATTCCAAAATAATAACTAAGAACATGGTAATATATAAAATACAACACACACAGACAGACATACTGGAATAATATTCGGCATCAGAAAAGCTGCTTAATAGATATTGCCATTTCCTACATAAATTCCAGTAACCAATAATCCAAGGTTTAGACAAAAAAAATATAAAAAATAGCAAAGAATGAATTCATTGATTAAAACTCACACTTTCAAAGGTTTTGGGGATCTGTATACGGGAAGTCATCGTCAGCTCCTCAAGAATTGCACTGGCAGCGTCTCTGGTCCCCTGAGCAGAAACAAACAATTATCAGTCTCCATCATAACATCTCGTATTGTTTTCCAACCCTCTCCCCATCCAGACAGACACGAAATAAACACTCTCCTCACCATTTGATAGGTGACGTCAGGCTCGGCATAGAATGCACCAACAGGAATACCATCTGGAGTAGTAAAACTGGAACCGACAACGCTGAGGAGATAAACCCACGTTTCTGGCTACAAACATATAGAGACATCCATTATAAAAGATGCCAGACCTTAAAAGAGCACTTACTGCACACTCTAGTTGAAAGTGAGCATTAAGCCTACTAAACCTACATACATGAAGAGTTAATAAGGGGGAAAAAATTATGACTTTGATGTTTTTATGACAGGTGGCGTCTAACTGGTGTTTGATGCTGTATCACAATGACCTGAGCTGTTTGCTGCACATTCAGTATGCAAGGGGGAAAAAAAAGCAAAATACACTAATTGACATGGAGACAAAACATTTTTTGTTAATAAATGCAAAGTATATTTTGGTAGCTAGCGATAAATATAAATAAAATGGAATGGTAAAAGTATTAAATTCATTCAGGTGTGTCAAAAAAAAAAAAAGTAAACCGAGCATTTGCATATGAAATATTAAGTTACATAAAAAAAACATTATATACTATTTTACCTACATCAGCAAAAACAATGCTGTTACAGTCCAGAACCCTGAGTGCAAACTTCAGTACCTCCATCATCTTGAATGAATTTGAACCTTTAATGAAGGGACAGAAAAAAATCACATATTAAGCATTCCATCTGAATGATACCGCTCATAAAAATCACTTACATCTGAAAGTTATGTGATCAGCAGCTGTCAAGCTGCAAATCAGCAGAATTTTCAATCCACTGATTGAAATTCTTTCTGCGCTTACTGCTGATATGAGAAATGAGTGTGCAAATGTATAAATTAATTTTCCTCATTGAATAGGATTAAGAAAGACTGGAAAACCAGACATGTTCTGTCTTTAAAAAGAGAAAAGTATGTTCATGTCAAATGGCATTTCTATATTGAATTGCCATGCTTTTCCTTATGTGTGTTGATATTAACAAAAATGGCAGAACTTTAAGTTTTTCTGGCTTTCCTACTTTGTAAATAACAGCCCTAAAATATTAAGATGATGTTTTTTAAAGTTAATATATATATATATATATATATATATATATATATATATATACACACACATACA